GAGTTTAATTCTTCAATCACCTTTGTAGCCGAATTAAGAATAAAAAGTTATTTGCGAAAAAAAAAATAAAATAATGGCGACGTGCCAAAACAAAAACTATAGTAATACCAAACATCCGGTTTTCGCCATTATTTAGTGCTCAATTAGTAAATTTGAATTCCGTAATTAATTTGGTTAACCGTCTTTATAAAAAATTGTAATACACTAAGGAATATGAAAATATAAAATTATAAAATATGTAATAAAACCTAATTTAAAAAATTATAATTTATAGTTATATAATTAAAAATAAAATTCTATAATTGAGTCCCCAAAAAGGAACCATAATTGTGTCTAAAAATTTCTATTTGAATTTTTTGTCGAATAAAAAGAAATTCTCTTGGTTCATTTGTGAAAAGTAGTATTTTATTACCCAGATTTTTTAAAAACATAAATGTTGAAGGCGAAAAAAGCCCGTTAGTAGAAGTCACTATTGGAGTGAATATGAAGTTTTTTAAATTTTTGTATTTGTTTGTCTTTTTAATTTCTGCCTGTGTTATTAAATTGAAATTTATGTTTGAAGGGAATGATGAGACACACGTGTAGCCCCAATGAGTGATTTGCTGAGGGCCCAAGGTATGGTTGTCATACCATCAGGTCTTAAACCATCTACTTGAGATAAATTTGATGGTTCAAGATTGTTTGGAATGTGTGCAGGTGTTAGGCTTCTATTTATTATATGGTTTACAGCTGAGTGTTGATTTATTAATCACATGTGGGAGATTCTGTGGTTAATTTTTTATATTACTCAAAATTTTTTTGATTACTTGTAAATTTTTAAATTAAATAACTTTCCATAATTATTATAATAAACATTTTGATTTTGATATAATTTTTTAAAATAAATTTTTAAAATAATATTTTAATAAAGACGAAAATTTATGAACCGAATATAATTTTTTTAATGTTTTGGTCTAAAATTTTCTTAGGCGTCGAGAAAGGTGTCAGAAAATTTGTTGGATTAATATGGTTATTTATCGAATCAGGGTAACTCTCAGAATTCCTGCATAAGTATTAGTGATCTGCATCGGGCCTAATTTTTCAAGCCCGGCCCTGTCCGAAATTTTTTAAAAAAGTTTTGCCGGCCCGGCCCGAATCAGAAATATTTTTAAAAAAATTTACCGACCCGGCCCGGTCATGCCCGAATTTATTTAAATATAGAAAATAATTTTTAAAATTACTTAAAATATAAGACATATGTTATATGTTGTCTAGTTTCTATAAATAAAATTAAATATTTTATTTTATATAAAAAATTTAATATATAATTGATAAATTTAGATATATTTAGATATATTTAAAAAAAATTCTAGGCCATACCCTACCCGGCCCTTTTTTAAAAAATATTAGGCCCAAACCCGATATATTTAAAAAAAATTAGGCCTGAGCATGTTTCGACGGGTACTTCATAATATTGTTATCTTAATATAACTAAAATTTATGATAGAAATAACTATATGCGTAATTTTTTCGAATAAAATAAAAATATGTAAAAAGAACAATTTGAATTAAGAATAAAAAATTTCTGAGGATGTTTTTAACCATATCATTCAATGACACTCAGAATAATAGATGCTGGAAAAAAATGTAGTTGTTACAATAAAATAATAAAAATTATATAATTATTACACAAGAATGGGGTTCAATGGACCCATTTAGCCAGTAGTGGAAATAATATTTTGTGACTTGGTTATAGCTATTCATGTATTTTGGGAACCTTAATATATATTAGCTTTTGAAACATTATATTACTCAAATGTGGCAGATGATCTATGGAAACAATTGATAGGTTAAGTGCAAAAAGACAATATGCATTTTTTAATTACTTGGGGTTTTTAATCAAACTAATTAGGGTTTAAATTTTACAAAATGAGTACTAAATAATGGTAAAAATAAAATGTTTGTCACTGAGTGATTTTTTGTTTATTTTGTTAATAACTTTTTTATTTTAAATTAAGCTATTAAACTGATTGAAGCACTAACTAACCTCTATCAAGGAAGCTCTAAAGAATTATATAAATTTCATTGTTAGTGCTTTCATAATTTTCTGGTCATAATTTGACCTCTAAATATTTCTTTAGCGTATTACAATTTTTTATAAAGACGGTTAACCAAATTAATTACGGAATTCAAATTTGCTAATTGAGCTCTAAATAATGGCAAAAACCGGATGTTAACTACTACTATAGTTTTTGTTTTGGCACGTCGCCATTATTTGTTTATTTTTGTTTTTTTCGTAAATAACTTTTTATTCTTAAATTCGGCTACAAATGTGATTGAAGCACTAACCTCTACTAACGAAGCTAAAGAATGATATAAGTTTCATCGTTATTGCTTTAATAATTTGGCCATAATTTGACCTTTAAACATTTCTTTATCGAATTACAATTTTTATAAAGACGGTTAACAAATTAATAACGGAATTCAAATTTACTAATTGAGCACTAAATAATGGCAAAAACCGGATGTTTAGTACTACTATGGTTTTTATTTTGGCACGTCGCCATTATTTGTTTAATTTTGTTTTTTACGTAAATAACTTTTTATTCTTAAATTCGGCTACAAATGTGATTGAAGCACTAACCTCTACTAACGAAGCACTAAAGAAGGATATAAATTTCATCGTTAGTGCTTTCATAATTTTCTGCCCATAATTTGACCTCTAAACATTTCTTTAGCGTATTTCAATTTTTTATAAAGACGGTTAATCAAATTAATTATGGAATTCAAATTTGCTAATTAAGCACTAAATAATGGCGAAAACCGGATGTTTAGTACTACTATAGTTTTTGTTTTGGCACGTCGCCATTATTTGTTATTTTCGCAAATAACTTTTTATTCTTAAATTCGGCTACAAAAGTAATTGAAGCACTAACCTCTACCAAGAGAGCCCTAAAGAAGGATATAAATTTCATCATTAGTGCTTTCATAGTTTTCTGGCCAAAATTTGACCTCCCTTTAGCGTATTACAATTTTTTATAAAGACGGTTAACCAAATTAATTACGGAATTCAAATTTGCTAATTGAGCTCTAAATAATGGCAAAACCGGATGTTAACTACTACTATAGTTTTTGTTTTGGCACGTCGCCACTATTTGTTTATTTTTGTTTTTTTCGCAAATAACTTTTTATTCTTAAATTCGTCTACAAATGTGATTGAAGCACTAACCTCTACTAACGAAGCACTAAAGAATGATATAAGTTTCATCGTTAGTGCTTCCAAAAGTTCGGCCAACTTCACGCTTAAATCGTGACGTTATAATTTTTATTTAGTTTATAACCTTTTTTCCATATGGCGATTAACCAAATTAATAACGGAATTTAAATACACTAATTAAGCACTAAATAATTGCGAAAACCGGATGTTTAGTACTACTCTAGTTTTTGTTTTGGCACATCGCCAATATTGGTTTATTTTTGTTTTTTTCGCCAATAACTTTTTATTCTTAAATTCGGCTACAAAAGTGATTGAAGCACTAACCTCTACTAACTAAGCACTAAAGAATGATATAAGTTTCATCGTTAGTGCTTTCAGTCAACTTTTAAACGTGAAGTTGGCACAAATTTTTATTTTTGTTAATTTTTTTCCTTAAATTCGGCTACTATACGGATTAAAGACTAATAAGCACTAACGAAGCACTAAAAAATGACATATGATTCATCGTTAGTGCTTCCAAATGTTCGGCCAACTTCACGGAGCTCTGTTATCGTGTTACGATATGGAATTTTATTGTCTGATTTATCTGTAAATTAATATATTTTAATTTATAATTACTAATACTCTAAATTTTTTAAAACTCTTACTGACACATTTTTTTCTAACTTAAAATAAAAGAAATATATTTTATGGAACCGTTATCACTATATATTTATATTAGCAGCATATGCTGATTTTATAAGAAAGATCTCAAATAAATGAAATAAATTTGAATCGAAATGATAAAGGATGGTTTTAAAATTTATTTATGAACCAGTAAATAATGACATAAAATTCTATAAATATATGTGGAATAATATTTCAATCTATAATCATATTCTAAATAAGTGAGCGTGATAAAGTGATTCTTAACTATGACTTGATATCATTAATTCGTGGCCAATGTTAAGCAACGTGAATATTTCATAATGATGTAAAATATGTCACATCAAATATCTTATATATATCTTTAACGTTAAATGTTCCATGTTTCAGGTGGAAATAATGTCTACTTACCTTATAGTTTCACATAATTTTATCAAATTATAACAATAATTATTTTGTTATTTTTATCCAGGATTCAGAATATTATGAAGGTAATTAATTTAATAGTGAGTCAATGGGGTGACCTAATGGATTATGATGTAAGCTTGGAAACAGAAGGACACAGAGGACGCAGGTTCAATCCTGGTAAGGAGCATAAAAAATTTTAGGTTTTTCATTGATGACTGATGTGTAAAGACATATGGCAAGATGAATTTCGGAGCTTAGAGATGACACCCCGGTCACTGACAGGCCTGAACAGCCGGGTGCTAAGGATACTTGTCCAATAAACAAAATTAAGGAAACAAATGAAAATATAAATATGAAAGCTAGGGCGTTCCCTCCAAGGGACGCGCAGGGTAAAGGTCAAAGCAAAAAAGACAAGATTAGCAAGTTTGAATATTGGTACACTTAAAGGTAAAACAAGAGAATTGGCATCAATGTTGAATAAGAGAAAAGTTGACATAGCGTGCATACGAGACGAAATGGAAAGGTCAGAAGACTTTAATGATTGGAGATGGGTATAAATTGTACTATAATGGAATTCTTAGTAATAGGAACGGTGTCGGTATTATCCTCAGTCAAGATCTAATCTCCTCAGTAGTAGAAGTCAACAGGATCTTTGATAGACTAATGAAGATAAAACTCTGCATTAGTCAATCAATACTACACATCCTTTCAGTATATACTCCTCAAACGGGTTGCAAGGAAGAAGAGAAAGATGACTTTAGAGCTATCCTTGATGAACCCTGATGACCTAATCATAATAGGTGGTGACTTAAATGCACATGTGGAAAAAACAAGAGATAGCTACAAAAGGCATCATGGTGGTTTTGGATATGAAGAAAGAAATGATGAAGGAGAGCATATATTGAAATTTGCTCAAGCCTTCGACCTTGCTTTAACCAGCACCTACTATAGGAAAAAAGACAGTCATTTAATAACATATAGTGGTACAAGGAAAAGACAGATAGATTACATGCTAATCTCTCGTAGAAGATTAAAAGTTGTAATAGACTGCAAGATCATCCCAGGAGAAGAAATAGCCGCGCAACACAAGCTACTAGTCATGGATTTACACATCACAAGTAAATCCACTCAAAACAAGATAAAACTGGAACCATGCATCAAATGGGATAAATAAAAAACAATGACAGATGCCGCAATCAATGCAAAAAGAACTATGGTAGTGGAATGAAGAAGTACAAACCACTATACAGGAGAAAAAAAGCCCTTTATAAAATATGGTACAAATCCAAAAACACAGATGACAAGACAAGATACAAAAAATTCAAGAGAATAGCTACAAAGGCAGTGGCTAGGGCCAAATTTATGGTATACGATGACATGTATGAAGAACTACATACCAAAGAAGGGCAAAATAAAACATACAGATTAGCCAAACAGCGAGAAAAGAATTCTAGGGATATAAACGGAGCTCCGAAAGTAATCAAAAATAAAGATGGGAAATTGATAATAAAGGAAAATGAAATAAAGAATAGATGAAAAGAATATTTTCAGGAGCTTCTCAACTTTAATCCCCACATACTACATCTAGACGAACACTCCCCATGTCAAAACCTTATACCAAAAAACAACAAAGCTAGGGGTCCATATGATATTACAATAGAAAGCCTTAAAGGACAAGGAGATGATGGAATACATTTCTTCACAAATCTATACAATAAAATACTTGGAAATGAAGAGGTTCCTCAAAAATGGAGGCAGAGCTATCTAGTTCCTATCTTCAAAAATAAAGCGGATCCACACAATTGTCAAAAATACAGAGGCATAAACTAATGTCACACTGTCCAAAACTATATGAAAAAATAATAGGAAAAAGATTAAAAGACATAATCGAAATAGGAGAGACTCAGTTTGGCTTTATGCCTGGAAGATCAACAACTGATGCTATCCACGCAATTAAGCAAATGAGTGAAAAATATAGGGAAAAGAAAAAAAGGCTACACATGGTCTTTCTCGATCTAAAAAAGGCTTTCGATAGAATCCCAAGAAAACTTATCTGGTGGGCGCTACGTCATAAAAAGGTTCCAGAAAAATATATGGTCATACAACAATGGTCTGTAGCACAACAGGTACTTCAGCAGGCTTCACAATAGTCGAAGGAGTTCATCAAGGGTCGGCTCTCAGCCCACTTCTCTTCATTACAATAATAGATGTATTAGCACAGTCTATACCTCAAACAGTCCTGTGCAATATGATATTTGCAGACGATATTGTGATACCCGAATCAAAGGATGAAATGAAAGAAAGATTAGTGAGTTGGTTAAATATCCTAGAAAAGCACGGATTAAAAGTAAAAAGAGAAAAGACTGAATATATGGTGATAGGAGGAGATGAAACAGAGGGTATTGATAATGAATGGCAGATATCGGCAATTGAAAGCTGCAAATATTTGGGCTCCTATACAAACAAACGGCACAATAGAAAAAGAGATAAAGAGTAAAATTAATCAAGAGGGTGGTTAAAGTGGAGATCTTTATCTGAAGTGCTATTTGACAAAAGAATCCCACACAAATTAAAGGGAAAAATTTACAGTTCCATAGTACAACCAACTATTCTATATAATTGGAAACATGGCCAACAAAGGAATCAGACGAGAGAAGTCTACAAACTAAAGAGATGAGAATGCTGAGGATGATTGCTGGGTAACAAGAAAGGATAAAGTGCACAGTACAAGAATACTAAGTAGTTAAGGTAGTGCCCATTAAGACTAAGTTAATGGTAAACAGACTTGGTGGTATGGGTACACAATGAGAAGGCCTATGAATTATATAGGAAATAAGGTTGAGAGTTTGGAAGTGATGGGCAAACGTAAAAAAGAAAGGCCAAAACTTCAATGGGGCCATAAAGTTAGAGCCAATATAAAGAAGTATAAATTAAATAAAAGAGATTGTATGAATAACATAAAGTGGAGAGAGATGTTGAAGGAGCTTACCACCAGAAAAGGTGAAAGCTAAAGAGAGAGAAAAAAATTAATTTAATAGTGAATGTTATACATCTTTTAACTTTATCAGAATATAAAGATTAAATTAAGAAATTCATTTTGAAATTGCTTTAATCCTTTTCAATTTTTTAAAATTTACACGGTTATTATAGTACTACATTTTTAGAATAGATTTAGGAACTGTTATTAACTTCTAATTTAAATTTCTAATCAAATATAGATATCGGGACCCTTCCAATCGTAGGTAGAACCCAATAAGAATCACTATAAAATAAATTCTAAAATGGTGAGGCTAACTTTAATATTTATTTATATTATCAAAAACATATTTTTGGGATACTTTTTGTCCATGAACTTCTTATTGGTTCCAAAAATTTTATCATCCTGTATTAGGCATTTCTAATATTTTATTCAGTAGCTTGATTCGAATTTTAATATTAAATATAAACTTAAAATGATAACGCACTCCGCTCTATTTTCACACAAAAATTATATTGAACACTGTTGGAGAGCAAAAGTAGATTGCTACCTTTCTATGAAAAAATTTGCTTTTACTTTTTGAAATTTCTTTTTTTTTGAAATTTTTTATTTATTTATTTTTTTTTAAGATTAAAAAAACTATTTTATTAAATTAAAATAAAGAATGAACAAAATTTTAATTGGTAAACTATAACTTTTCTTTATATCGACAATTTATATCAAGGTAAGTTATAATAATATTAAAAAAAATATAATATTAGTAAATCACAATTATATAAAGTCATTAATTCTTGCCATTTTTTTATTGATTGAGATTCAAGTTTCCTTTTAGCGCTAACATTATAATAGGCAAAAATGGCCAAAGTCTATACTATGCATAGGATGTTCAATTACGGGGTTTCGGATATTGAAAAAATAAAGCTGAGATAATTGTATTTTACTATGTTTATGGCTAATAGTTGGCGTAGGTAGAATCCCTAGTTGGGATCCTCGGTCCTAGCAGAGTCCGTTTTCCCAGCTCTTTAAAGAAGTCTAGGGCATGAGAGCCGAACGACGTTAGAGTAGTGGCGATTAGTGGTAGGAATGTATAAATGGCGGGAAGAGATGGCGAATATTTAGCTAGTTTACCTCGGCATCTAGTATGGCATCTCTATTTATATTGGAAGGGCAAGAGGAACGATGCATGAGAAATTCCAAGTTAGGAATTCCCCCCCTCTTCCAAGGGATCATAGTCAAACCATCGGGCCGATAACCATCGGAATTGTAAAGGCCAGTAGGTTCGAGGGTTGATGGGATGCCGGCGGAATTTAAGGCCCTGGCAATGGTATCATTGCATTTTGAATGCCTAATGAATCTGCCTTTACAGCGCTTGCAGTGTAGAGAGTGACGGCCTTTGGAGTTGACCGACATTTGACAGAGGATACAATGGTAAGGTATTGCCATATCGCAATTCAGTCTAAGACCCATGGCGTGACGTAGCTCATCATTGCTTAGGAGCTGGTCAATGTTTCGGGATGGGAAAGCCTCAAGAAATTCGTATCCACTACCTTCGGAAATGGGGAAGAGTAGAGAATGATCCTCTGGTTGGCTCCTTTATTTAAGGAATGCAACTGAGTTGCCAACTAGAGGTTTATCCCAATCCTTCTGTAATGCCGGCGATGGAGGATCGACTAATGAGAGGGACTTCCATAGATAAATTGCCTGTAGGAGTAAGGGGTCAGGATGTTTTGTTAGTGTTTGAATGATAGGCTCGCAGGACAGGCGAGAGGATATGAACGCACTAACAGAAAGTAAAGAAGGTGACCTTATACCAATGCTGCCGGATTTGGTTGGTAAGGTACCCTGTAACCATGATAATTCCCCAAATTTAAGATTGAGGATATCTTCTGTTAGGCGTTTAATCTCCAGTTCGTGTGAAGCGAGGTTGACGTCATATTGAAAGATCCGTGACGCTCGGGGTGTATATAAAATTCTTGGAATTAAAAGATAGTTATTTAATAAGAAGAAAGCTTGGTGAGCTGGGAGGCAAGATAGTGTATCGCGCATAAGGGATATCTCTCGTAGAATATCGGCAAAGAACTTGATAAAGGACTCGTCTTTACCTACTGGAGATCCGAGATGTGTTAAAGCGTTCAATGGTGTATGATTGAACATAGTATCATGGTTAAGGTCAATGATTCCAAGAGGACAATATTCGCTTTTGTCTTGATTAACTCGAAGTCCCAAACTTTTCTCGCTGGATTTTATTTGGATTGCCTTCATAACTTCAGTCGGTGGGCCTTCATATAAAATATTAAACAATGAATTTAAAGAAATATATATTGAAAAATTTACTCTTGAAATTCTAACTTAAAATAGAATATACAATATGTTAAATATACAAAAAAATATAAATAACTATCAAAATAACAAATATGGTACAAAGCGAGAAGGAAATAAGAAGTAAAAAAAATTTAGGATAGCTTTTGGAAAACTATGAAGATTATGTAGTTCGCTTTAAGGATACCATTGGTCAACCTTTGTTGTAGGAAAAACCCATCTCAAAGTTTTTCTCTGACTTTATTAATTTGAGAGCCTTGATTTTTGAAGAATGCTAAGACAAATTTACTAAAAGTGATAAGTGTTTGGTCAAAATAATTGGTATGAAATATTGTTCGAAACTGAATAATATGAGATTTTACGATATTCCTTGTGGTCCAAGATGTTAAGGGCGTGGTTGGAGAGAGCCAGGGGGTCTATACAGCCCATACTTATAATTGAAAATTGAGTGATCTTAACAGACGTTTACTATCTGATCTGAAAAGAATAGAGAGTTCTAGTTTGGAAGGTATTTGAGGCCGATTTAAAAAAAGTAAATTTCAGAAAAATATTACCCACGTCTGAAGATTTAACCCATAGATAGCATAAAGGTTTTGACATCTATTAGCAAAATCTCCAGGCAGACTATATTTTTTAGACTAAAGATTGAGTTAGCCGTTTTAAAAATCGGCTCTAATTGAGCCATTTAACAACACAACTTCTAAGATATATTTTTATTAGTATTAAAGAAGAAAATATTCTTTCATAGATTGGTGTACTAATGAGTAGAGTTGCTAAATATAATAATCTACAATAGTCTAAAATTTGCTTAAAATTGTGTGAAGTATCTATAGAATTTTTTGGAACGACCATATTTAATCTTTTATATAATAGTTTGC